AGAGAGAGAGAGAGAAAACAATATTTTCTTTTTAGAGAGGAAGCACACAAGTATTTCTCTTCCTTTTTTTGATAAACAATATGTCTTCCCTTTAGCACTCCTTTTTTTCTTTTTAAAGAGATATGGCTAGATTCGTAGTAATAGACACATCAATTGAATTTAAGATCCATATAATAAATTTTTCAATCATATGTTCTAACTACAAGTGGTCTAAAAAGGGTGAGGACCTTAAACTTTCCCTTTACCCTTCCTAAGCCCTAGTACAGGAGATGGGTTGTGTTAGGTAGTCAGCTAACGTAAAAATTTTCCAAAACTTTCCATGAATACTGAATCGACATTATCTGTTTATGCTGAGCATTCCCCATAAGCAACACGCTATACCGGAACCCGGATACAATTAGAAATGAGCAAGGGTTAGCTACATATGGGGACTTATTGCTTCAGTGAGGGTATGGCCCTTGATAGAGTAGAATGGCGGACCAGGATTCGAGTAGCCGACCCCAAATAGTTAGAAAAAAGCTTTGATAATGATGATGGTTGTTCTAACTACAAGTTCAGAGATAGCACCACTGACATGTCATTAAAGACCTTATTTTTGAGTTGTTTTAGGCTATGACATGCCCAGAGCATAGTCCCCCACCATCTTACTTAAGAGTATGAGAAAAGAAAAACATCAAGGCAAATCTCTGGTTCACAAAAAATGCTAAAGTTCATGTAACTCATAAAGGCTTCACCAGTTTTCAAGAAACTTAAAATTGACAACTAAGATTGTAATGAACTTTTCCAAGTACAAGTCTAATGGAAATTAAACAATTTACTAATTTAAGTCCCAAATTAAGAAAAAATTCTAATCAGACAGTAAAAAAGAGAACAATGATAATGATCCATAAACTACAGAAAAGGTCTACCAAAGAAAGTAACTGCCTGAACCTGGAGGTAGGATGAAATTTGTGTAAAACCAACTTCAGCCTTATCACACGTGACGTTCGTGCAGTATAAAATCATCTGGGTGGACAACTTTATCGTTGTTCTAGCTTTAATATAATAGATTAAATTCTACTCCACACGCTTAACTATTCCCAAATCCCCTCAATATGACTATGGCGCTACATCAAATTAAATAAGGAAAAAGTTCATATATAGTTGAGGCCCTAAACAATCAAATAAGGCGCACCTCAAAAATTCACTTGAAGTAGTTTTCAATGTCAAGAAACCCTCAAATCTGATCATCCCGACCTTGAGATATATGGACGTAAAAAAAAGGACTTCAAGCCTTGAAATAGTGCGTCTTGTAATGCATTATCTAGACCACCAATTTTCAAGATTTTCAAGTGTTCATAGATCTGCTTGATCTACCACTATTTTTTAAGCTTTAAATTTTACAATTGGAGATAAAAAATTTTAGGCCACGATAAAGTTTTTTGGTACTAAAACGACATCTTTCAACACTATTTGAAGGTGCGCCGTACTTTGTGCTTTTAGGGCCTCAGCCTTGTACAAACCACACCCATTAAATAATCTCTAATCATTTTAAGTAGAAGAGGAAATGGAGAAGATGCCCGAATGATGGCCTAGTAACATCGAGGTAAAGTACATTCCCGGTAGTAATAACCAAAGCTGCTCACTGTGGAATACCAACGGCAACGGTACGAAGAACATGAAATCTCTCTCAATGTAAGATGCGACCATGTTATTCCCCTCAACATTGACTAAGAGTAAAATTTTTACAACAAGAATGTATTTACATTACAATACCTGGATGTCTGCATATGAGAAGCCTTTAGTCAACCATGATTGAAAAAAATAGTCTTCTATGAATATCTGCATAAACAAGCACCTGCTGGATTAGATAACCTTACGTTCCAAGATAATATAATTTTTAGAACACTAAATTAATATTAGCATAACAACATATTCCAGATAATTGATTTACCAGAAAGTGATAAAGATAGATATGAAACTAAACTTTATCACAATGACCGTAAAATATGCTAATATATTCATCATAAGCAATCATTCAACATCAAATATAACAATATAGATAAAATCTAAAAGGGCCAAATCAAATGCAGTGTTTATGAGTAAGAATAAATCGCAGGCAACTGAATTATGACCATGATTCAGTATATGATACATGCTTCCTTCACAGAGAAGAGATGAGACTAAGCATGTCACAATCTTAGAACATCTGAGATTTGAAAACAGATCTCATTAGTAATCCGATCATCACAATTCCATAAACACATATTTGGACAAGAAAAAGGTCGGGAACAAAAGATGCCAGACAAAACCACCATAATTTTGCTCATTCCACAAGCTTAACAGCTTCTCTGCATTTTACAGCCACTTACCATTAACCTCTATATTATATATGTGTTAAGTACGCAACTATCCTGCATCGTGTTAAAAATGGCATTAACTCATCCCCCAGGATAAGAATCTTGAAAGAGAAAAAAAGGACATCAAGCAAGCCTATAAAGAGAGGAACTCAGGAAAAAATTATAAACTCCCCAAAAGGCACAAGTAGCAAAAGAGAACGTGCCAAGGACAATATCAAGATAACCATTTTAAAATAAATATCAAAACTACCATTACACTATAAAACTTAAGGTTAACCAACAGATCATCCTATATGGCATATGTAATAAATAGGAAACTATACCCAGTCACCATTGATGTCTAATAAAGTTTCATAGGGTGGTTTTGACTCTTTTGACAGTGGAAAGATACAACAGAAGTGGAAGGAGGACTAGGATTCTAGTGCAGCAAATTTGGTTAAGCATGGTATGAGGAAGAATATGGATTCAATCATTTTTAAGTATGCAAGGTGAAGAAGAGAGTTAAGGCAGCATCAGACCAGTTACAAAAGAATTGAGGAAAGATCCTGGATGGATCTCAGACAGTTTAGAGAGTGGCTTTTGGAAGGCATGCAAGCTATGCTTAACAAGGTGACACTTAACTGGGGGAGAACAGATGACAAGCCAAGGCAAGGGGACAAGGATGAGGTTCATGGGAGGTAGGAAGAGAAGATTGTAATACATGATCTTCATGATAGCTCACAACCTATAGGGTCATATGCAAAATCATGAAAGATGACTCCATGAGAAAGTCATGAAATGGTCACAGTTTAGTACACACAACTGAAAGAGACAAGCCAAGGGCCTTAAAACGAAGACAGATAGCAAGAATCGATAACATGTAAGATCGGTTCAAGAAAAATTCTCCAACAAGATGGGAAGGAAATGAGCATAATGGAGCAGCATCCAACTAATGGGCCATGTGTTTCTAAGTGTTGATTAAATGTAGGAAAAATGGCTGAAAAGCAGCGGATAGAGGAGGTGTGTGCTTCAATTTGAAAAGATTGACATGAGATTCAAAAGACGAATGAGTAACCAGAGCTTTCAAAGCTTCACCTCAAGGTTAGAGTTCAGCGACATGCCATAAAATTTTCACCTAAAGCCAATAGGATGCTAATGCACTTCAAAAATAGAGACAATTCAAGGGCGAAATGCAGGGTGTGAGAAAGGACAGTATATGGAATAGCTTGTAAACAGTTTCGAGTCCTGGATGACTTGGAAGGAAATCATGGAAGAGGAGGAGAATTAAAAGTCGCTAAGCTAGTGAAGGGAGACTGAAAAGGCTACAGATGCTTGTTTGGAAGAGCAGGTGAAAACAGGAAGTATGGCTGAAATTCTAAAACTAGGGTAGATTTAAAGGATGGATGAGAAGAGTTTGCCTTTAAATATTTCTCTCAAGATTAGAGGCAGGTTCTTTGTTTAAAAATAAAAATCAGGCTCTGTAGGATGAAGAAACACAGACCAAGGAGAAAAAAGATGATATCCTTAGGGAGGTGAGAGGGAATGGGAATGGGTTCTCACCAGTCCGGTTCTACTGCAGGGAAAATTTGTTACATGATGATGACAACGGATGATGGAAACATAATTAAATTAAAAAGAAAAAAGTAAGCAAAAACTTAAAAAGGGGAAAAACAATAAACATTGGGGAATCAAAAATGAAATTAGAAAATACGTCAGTGAAAAGATAAAAATGTTGAAACAAATTACATAAAATAAGAAAGAAATTGAGAATTTGTGCAAGGAAGCTAAGGTAATCTTGAGGAAAGAGTTCCCAGGAGCTACAAAGCTAACAGTGTACCTAAATTTGGATCAGCAAACAAGAGTCCCAACATCCTTGTTGAGGAGTTTACAATATGAGACTTTTCAATGCAAAACTGAGGCCAAAACAACCAACATTAGAATGTCACTCAATTACCAAAAAATATTCTAACCTGTGGCTTTGCAAGAAGGAGGACATCTCTATGAATCCCTGACAACCACCAATGATCCTGATCTTCTAGGTAGGAACCATCACTCCATCTCATCACTTGAACGGCCAACAAGTTTTCCTCTGAAGAGCCACAAGGAAAGCAATAGTCTGTAATTTCAAATTCAGCAGGAAGTCTGCTGTCTTGGCTGTCCCAACACGAACAATGAAATGCATCAGAAACCATCATAGATAAGACATAAATTGCAATTGTATTAAGTCACGCTTACCCACGAGTCTTGTCAGTTCATGAATAAAACATAAAATACAATTTCAAACATGACTTCATGTCCTCAACAGTCAGGATCTGTAACCATCAAAAAATAGAAATACATGGGCTTGTCTTTTGCCTTTTAATGCTTCCGGTAAAAGAGTAGGACAAAAAGTAATAAAAAATACATCCTAGATCTAATAGATTTGACCAGTTCACCTATAAACTTACAGTAAAAATATATGCATTCCCAGGTAAACATAGAAAAGGATGTGGAACAGCTTGCGCCTAACGTAGTGTTACCAAAAAAACCTGTCTTCTTATGGACAATTCCATACATATCCAGGAATAATCTACAATTTGGAGTCCTAATTTTCCAACATAAGACAGAAAGTTAACTTTCTCTCAAAAAACATGAGACAGCAAGTTCCCACTAATCCACTTAAAGAACATTTAACAAACCAATTTCAAGCCCATCCCCATAGTCCATAGAAGGAAGACAAAAACTATGTGATACTATCAAGAGAATGATATAAAGTACCCATGGAACATTTCTTTCCATTTCTAAATAATTACTTTTCATAACACAGTACAGTAATATAAGTGCCTGCATTTTGTTGCACTCAAATAAATACACGAGCATGAATGAGTTTCAATTTGTAAATCATCAAAAAAGAAAAGTTTCAAGATCAGCAGTTAAAATCCAGAGTTTTGTAAAGTTCTTTCTAAGTTAAATGGTATGGTTTCTTCCTTTTACTTTCATTTCTTACTTTATAATATAGAACATTAAAACTATTCAATGTGAAACATCAAAGCCACCAACTCCATTATTTTCTATTCACCATTACATTTTTGTTATAATTTCACCATTATAAATTATAGAATATTATTAGGAAACCCTTGTCAAGAGTATATATCATATCCCTATCCAAAGCAATTCACAAGCCAACTCAGATCTGCCATAGAAACTCACCAACATTTAATGATCCCTAAAGGAAATTATCAAAACATTGCAGAAGTCCCTGAATTATGCAAACATTGGAAAACAGTTCCATAATAAAGAGGATAAAATACACTCATATTTGTCAGTAAGCTACTCCTTACTTGCAGGCCATGATATCTGAAATGAAAAAAAAAATTGCCTAAATGTAATGAGACAAATACACATGATGCACCGAGCCATCACCATGATCAAGTTGGCAAACACTCAATAGTTCCATAACACAAACCTGTAACCAATTGGCACCCCATTAATCCATGCCTGAAAAGCTGAATCTACAGCCTCAAAATGCAACAAGATACGACGACCTGCCAATCAATATAGTTGAATCAATGGCACTGAATTGTAACTATAAACAAGATATACCGATAGAAATAAAAAGGACAAGAAAATGGATCATATCTAATTCACAGACACACACATGTGCACGAGCACCCACACATGTTTACCTAGAGGCACACCATTCCGCTGTTCAGAGGAATCAAGCTTGAATCTATAAAATGTAAAATTACAATGCATGACTGAATTTTACCCTTTGTGCGTATCATATATAAATTAAAATTCATGTACACTTATGACCACACTTCAGCTTATTCTTTCCTCACTAACATGAAGTCCAAGTTAAGTTCATTTAAGCCCAGGGTTTCACAGGATCTAGGAAAACCATGCAACAATATATTGTTTTGGAATAACTGAAGTACTTGTTCATCATGAACTAGTAAATCCAATATTTCAAGATTTTCGGGTGCCCGTTTATGGTGCTCATGGGTCGTTCGTGATAAGAAGAAACTTATTGTCATTGAGATACCAAGCATATTGTTCATGTGCTTAGCCTCCAGTTACTATATATTGTAATATTGTTCCTCAGCCCTCACGTAATGAATCGTCAAATACATATGTATTATATGCATCAGGATAGTTCTTAACTATGGATAATATAACTAAGGATGTGGTTTATATAAGGTTGCAACCTTAATTGTAGAAGTGAGGTTGTGGTGTTGTACACCATCCATTTTAGTTGGACGGTGTAGATTTGACACGTCTTTTTTGACATTGTGTCAAAAAGTGGCACTTCTTTTAAGATAGTATCAAATCCACACCTTCCAAATAAAACAAATGGGGTAGATTACTGCAACCTTACTTCTACAAGTAAGGGTAAAACCTTATATAAACTGTTCCTGTAAATGTTAGAAGTCAACACTCATACCATTACCAACTAATGCAAGCCACTAAGAAAACGGTACATGATGCACAACTATTTTTTCAGTATCATAGTTGACACCGATGAATTGAATTTGGTGTACTAAACAAATTAAAAGAAGGTGTTAAGTGGTTCTATATTTACATACCATTCCACTCATTTGGAATTCTGAAATGCTTTCTAAAACAACCAGTGGGATTCTCATCTGGCACATATGGTGGATTCAGTGGAAATGGATACTGACTATTTGTATATATAGGTCGATCATACCCATGCATCTGCCAATTGGAAGGAACTGGTTCAATGAAGGAATAACTATGTTAGGATAGAAATCTCAAACAACAGTCACGAAAACCCAACTGAGAAACTGTTATCCATGCATAAATACAGTTGAAAAAGTGCGCAATGATAAATGGATATACATCATAATGACTAGGCATAAAAGCTATTCACAATAAACACAAAGTGTTGTTAATTAAACAATTCAACATGCTATCCATTAGAGCTAAATCAATGGTTTTTAGATTGGCCTCAACAAAATATTTCCTAGAATTTGTCTCTTAGACATAAAATATTGCAGAAATCATTATACTCGAAAACACTTTCATATAATTGGTTCTTTTTATGGATAAGGAAAAACTTCTTCATATTATGGTAGAATTTCCAGTTTCACTTCTTAGGTTCTACAAAAACATTCATTTCACATTCCATGACTTGTACATACTTAAATAATTATTTTCCCCATCAATGACATTTATATATCTAAAGCAATAACTATAACACACTACAGAGAAAAAAGCAAAAGAGAAATTTCTAAAAAGCATTCAGAAGGCTACTACAATAGACATAGGTCAAGATTGTGGGAGAGAGGCACCAATGAAATATGATCTCCCCCCAAACACCCCCCTCCCCGTCCCCCCCCCCCCGCCCACACACACAAAAAAAAGGAAAAAAAATAAAAAAAGTGTTTAGTACCCTCCTTGGTTTTAATCATCCATGAGTTCATTGGCCTTCCTAAGCACATATGGAAGTAAGCTCTTTAACTACTGACACGACTTCAGTAAATACAACTAGCAACCTCCAAGGCACAATCGAGACATGCTAGCCCATTTGCTGACAGACATTCTAGACATTGCACTCTACAACCAATAGTCACATGAAATGTAGGGTAAGAAACTCTAAGACTGACAACAAAAGCCCCCACTTCCACCATCATCAAATTGCAGTGACCGAGATGGCCTAGATAACCCTCCGATATATGACCTTCACCATGCCTAATCACCTAAGACACCCCAGAAGGACCAGGATTGATTATAAATCAAAGTTATGCTTAAGCTTAACCTCTAGTGGTCTACTCCAATGAACAACAATCCCAGGTCTAGTGGCCTTGGTGTGTAGCACATTCTTCCAGTTGCCAGTATGGGCATTAGGTATAATGGCATAGTACTGACAGCTAAAGGAAAGAAGTGACGACTGCCCCAGCATTAAATGCATTTTGGAGAAAAAGAGAGGAACGCACCTCTCTTCTTCCCTCCCTCCCTCTCTCGCCGTGTGGAAAACAAGAACATTTTCTCAATAAGCTCACCGTTCTTCTGAAATGGCTAGATGACAAGAATGACATGAGGATTGCCACCCTAGTCAGCACATCACCCATGGAGAAACAAATACAGGAAAAATGACCAAATCCACAGATGAACAAAAGAGGAGGAAGATGATGCAACATATTTTCCTCTTTCCTGCACATACATTGATATTTCAGAAAGGCTAAGCCACGATCTTAAAAATTGTTTATCACTTATTGGGATAAGAATCCTTATATCCCAATAGGAATCTAATCAAGCATCCAGAACCTGAGACGAGGGCACAGAGAGGAGTATGAATTTCTCAAATATGGCGATTTCATCTATCAAAGAGAAAGCAATTGAAAATTAAAACTTCACTAACCAAACACTCTTCTAGAGATATCAATATCAGATGATCCATCACAAGTTTAGCCATATAATTAGAAAGATCATACTTGCTTCCTCATACACATATGCCAGATTAACTCCCCTCATACATAGACACATATTTACAAGAGACCGAATTACCCCTTGTCAGGATTACCCCTTATTACAAACACGTAAACAAAGATACAGGCACTCTCAACAAATGCGAAATGCGGAAGAAGGGCATGCCATTTTTGTGGGAGATAGCAGTGGCAGACCCACAAGAGAGTGCACACTCTTGTTTTCGTTTCAAGAGGTGGGACTGATGGACTAATCCGTGAAGCAAGTTCCAATTGCAATTCCAAGCAAAGGAGACCATTCTAAGCAAAAGGGAAGATACTACTTTTAAAGAATGGAATATTCAATGCAACATGGGTCTTGCAGTTTCTCCCTCAAGTCCCCAAGAACAAGATCAGGAGAAAGTGGAGAGATTTCAAGTACAAGGTCCCTTTCAAATTATGTCATGGAAAAATATCATACTACTTCTTGGGTCCCTATGGGAATGAAGAAATCTCTAAATGAAAGGTTTTTCTTGCTGGAGGACTTTTGGGAAGAGTATCTATTGGTTTCCACTAAAGCAATAATTGCAGACAAATTGGATGCGCCTAAGGAAGCACCAAGCACAAAAAGATGGTAGAGGAAAGCCAATTTATGACAGAGATGAAGAAAAAGAGATCAAAATGGGTCTTGTGACGATTAACCAGCCAATTTGTAAGGTTAATTCTGGAGTTTCCCCATATTTCAGGCAGGTTTTAAAACTAATGGATGGGTTACGAACAAAACTGATAAGTGTGAACCAAAATATAGAAAGATGGTAACGGTCCATGAAAGGGTAGATCAGGTTTGGTTAATGGGGTAGAAAAGCAAGGGATCCATATGATACCAATGCAAAAATATTAAGATTAGCTTTGTTAATTTGACCATTGTATGTATGGCAGGTCGACCAACATAATTCATTTTGGAGATTTGGGAATAGTATTCTTGTAAATCCTTCACTGTCTTTGTGTTATCTTCTTCCTTTCAACACTAGCCAGATTATCTAATCAAGAATAACTAAACAAAAACAAGCAGATATAGTACAATGATGATTTTCATCTCATGAAATACATTTGAGGAGCACGAAAAATAAATAATCGACATGATAAGGAAAATGAGATGCTTCCTGCCCATTATGATGGATCATATACAACAGAGAGCAGAGCATGTTCAAAGAATACTATAAGCAAAGAACACAACCAAGTTATTCACTTCTAAAAGAAAAACAAAGTTTATTTAGCATATTTTCAGATATTCCAGCCACATTTTTTTACATTCACATAATTTGTGATAAGAAAAAGTGTCACGCATATATGCAAATAATAGAATCAATTTTTGATAGACCAAGAAGCCTGGTATGTGATAGAGAGAACTCAAACAACAGTAGAAGCAACTTGTCAAAAAGAAACAACAGTAGGAGCAGAGTTAGTATGGCAACTTGACAATGTTCAGAAGTCTACCATAATAGAATAGTTCAAAGAATAAGTCAGGAAAGATAAAAGCATTATGTCAATGAATGAACTAACTTATGAAATGCTTAACTTAAATAATAACAATAGATTAAATAAGTTGCCAGCTAACTCTTAGTGTTAAATTTCAAAAATCCCATAAATAGGGACTCCACAAGATATAGCAGAAGCTTTGGTCAATAACTAAAAATTGTGCCAAAAAAAGCAAAAAGGAAGATGTTTCAGTTTGCAGTAAGATAAACTTGCCAGGTAAAGAACCCCAATTTGACTCATCAAAATTAGTCTTAAAGAAATCCAATGGAACATCTGTAGGACTTGGAGCCAAAAAGAATTTCCAATAGCCACTCAATGATTGAACAAAGGGCAACCCCTGGACCCAAAAAGCAGCACTATCAAGTGCTCCAGTGACAGCATTGTCATCCCATACAGCCAAGTTAGAGACCAGTTTGTCAACTTTGCTGCGCCGATACCAGTACTTCAAAGAGCCTGTTTAGCACGATAGACTTGTTAAGAGTTTGCTTTTGATGAGGAGCATTCCTTCAAAATGTAAACTACAAGAAGCTGTTTCAGAGAGTGGATATCAAGCAGGGAAGGCAAAATAAACAAATTAAATTGAGCAATGTTATCTGCATATCACTGATAAAATATTCACCAAGGGAATGAAGAAATTGAGAGAATCCACATGCAAGAACTTTTCAATTTACTTTTCAGGCTTTCTTTGGAATTTTTGGACTGTTACAAATAATATGTTCCACTACATAGAAAAATGCATAGACATCCAAAGCAACCATAGAACTAAACCAAAGCCTAAACAATACATCACCATTTGATGAATCTAGCCCTCAATCGACTATGGAATCTGCTTGGTTCTTCAATTTGCTCCAAGCCTTGTGATGTCTATCCACCAGAAAGGCGCTTACAACACACTCAAATTCTAGCAGATGATAATGACTCCTCAAAAATGGAAGTGCTCTTTGTTATAAGAATGGGTGATCAATTCCTACAAGTACATCTATTTGCTAAAGCCAATTGATTTGTATAGCGTTTTGACTCCGAAAACTCCTTCATGAAAACAATGCAAGGACCCCACTCATCTATCCTAAAACATTGGGGAATCTTTGGGCTATGTCAAGGCAGCAGCCAAATTTGTCAAGAATAAGAAATGATGGGTACATAGTGAGAGCCCTTGTTAATAAAATTTCTGAGTATGCCTTATAATGTTCTAATGCAGTCAAAGTTGAACCTTGCAATAGTTCAGGAAACCAATGATCATGTTCGGGTTTATGATTCTTTTTTTTATAAGAAAAATCCAGATTACGATCAATGGGAATTTAGTTGGATATCTGCAAAATTAGTTCTATATCCAGTCAATAATTTAAGTCGTAATATTGGATAATGATCACATATCACTGCATAAGTATAACATATGTATCAGTTTTCTTTCCCTTTCTATAAGGTGGTGAGCTGAACGAGATTGAAATCATTTCTCTAATGGCTCCTCAAATATAATAATCACATTTAATAACTTGCAATTGACATTTTAATTGGGAATACTAAATTAAAATCAGCAAACTAACGTGACCATAACAACTGCATGACCATAACCATGCTTACAAAGTGATCAAAAATAGACATTGACAAAATTTAGTATAAATAAGACAGTTTCACAATGATTCTCACAGGTAGAACTACTTGTGCTCCGAACAACTCGCGTAACATGTTCTAAATCAAATTTAAGCCCTAGGGACATTGTGTATCAAAAAAGTAAGGACCTTAAGAATAAACTGACATGAAAAAGATCTTTTCACAAGCAACAATGATAAAGGATAATAAACTAGTAGCATAAACATATCCATCTAAAGGCCCTCTTCTACTAAACTCAAAAACAGAAAAAATATTAACAATGTCTATAAAAATCACGGAAGACATTCAATAAAAAAATAGAATCATATCCAAAAAAAATCTGTGCAACTTAAAATCTCACCATCCACAGTATCGTGGCAGCGCAAAGGCACATGAGCATCTCTCTTTTTCCACTTAATGAAGGACGGATCTTCCCAAACTTTATGACTCAATTCGAGGGGAGAAATTAGTGCATCAGGTAAACTAGCCATCGTAATGCTCTTCATACGCTCAATATCTTCAATAACTCATCCTACACTTTCATGCAAAAATACCAGAAAACCTCCTGCATCAAAAACACACACAAAAAAAACAAAAAACACTCCCAATCATCTCAGGTTGCAACTGTAAAAATGAAACCGATAGCACCCAAAAACGCTCCATTTTACAAATTGAGAGAGAAAGAGAGTTACAAGGTAAATAATGCTCAAATATTAAGTTTTTTGAGAGAAGGCAATAAACCGGAAAGGGGATAAGAAAAGGAGAGTGATTTACTTGCATAAATTTAAGAGTGGGATGCATATGAAAATCTAGCTGAATACAGAGCAAAGGTGGATTGTTAATTATCTTTAATTTTCAAATGATCAACCCAAAAAACAAAAGCTATCAACTAAAGACGGTAATAACTGTAATGACATACTGCGCATTTTAGTCCAAAACACAAAGTAATGAAAAACTTTGGACGAGATCGAGAGAGATTCGGTCAGTGAATAATTCACTGATTCAAGGGGAAGTCGACCTGCTTGTGTACAGTGGAGTGAGGACTGAGGAGTTGTGGACAGATGGATTGAGTTTTTAAAGGAACTCATTTGTCAAATTGCTGAGTGTATTATCCTCCTAGATATGGAAAATGCTTTGATAAGGCTGCCGCCCTGTCAAAATAAGTAAATCCTCACTTCACAGCAAAACAAAAATGGCAAGTTTGGAAAATCTTTACATTGAACATGTCGAGCTGACATTGCGGTTGTAAAAAAAAATTAAGAAACTTTAAAAATAGTGTATATTGTAATAAATTATCTAGACCGTTTATTTTATTTTAAAAATAAATGTTGATAGATCCACAAGATCTGTATTATTTTTTTAATTTAAAATTTTATTTTTTGTATTAAAAATTGATTTTAGAACCATCATAGATATTTTTGTCAAAAGTACCTACATTATGAGAATTTGAAGTGAGGCTTTTTTTTGTTTTCATAAAACCTAGGACTTATAGAAACCTCATCTTTGGATAAAATTTTTATAGGGCCAATGCTTCTATAAAAACAAAACAAAACGTCACCTCAAATCCTAGTCCAAAAAGCACTTTTGGCGATAGAAATATCTGTTATGCACTAAAATCAATTTTCAACACGACAATAAATTTTGAAACTCAAAGAATAATATATATCTTGCAAATCTATAAATACCTACTTCTTAGGGCGAAATGGACGGTTTAGGTAATTCATTACAATATACACTATTTTTAGAACTTGAAATCTTAAATTTTTTAACAATCGTTAGGTTCAAACCAAGATGAACGATTTTAAAAAAATTCAATACTTAAATTGTAATTTTTGATGAGTTATGAGGTGAGACTTTACTTATTTTGATAGGGTTACAGCCCTATCAATCCATTTTCCTTAGATAATTGAGGAGGAATAAGAGCGTGATGCTCTCCCTCTGGCACGTGTATATTTTGTTTCCACATGAGTGTATACCTACTTCCTCAATTAAAAGACCTAGTTAGGAGAAATTCTTTCAATTGATTACGGGACCACCTAAGAGTTATTAGATGATTATTTAAAAAGAAAAAAAATGCGAATTTTGAGTTTATTAACCCTTGGATCTTACCCTCCAAATAGTGGACGGTCTTTGTTCAATCTTGAATTTTTTTCTTTTCTTTTTTTTTCAAGTGCATAGAGAGTGAAATTGGAAAATATTTTTATTGCGGTTGGTCTATGTTTTGAAAAGGTTATATCTCTAAAGTATTGGCTTCTAAATTTGTTCTAGATTGGATTTTGCTCAATGGAATAATTGGATAGTTTACTTATCTAATAGCATAAAATCTTTTCTCCCCTAACTTCTTGATTTCCTTACAATTGTTGTTCTTACTTTTTATTTTCTTTTAACATTAAGTCTTTGTCATTGTTGTGCTATTGATTATGTGTTAAAACCTAAGCCCACACTTAATCTCGTCTAGGTTTGGAGGTTTTAGATTTCAAAATCAAGAAAAACCCTTGTTAGGAGGCAATAAAAACTTTTCATCATTTTGGCAAACATTGAAAATTGTTTTGGTCAGTAATACTTATTTTTACATTTTCTCCTATATTTTGGAAAATTTTAAAAAATACTCATGAGCACAAATCGATTCTTTAAAAACAATTTCAATTTCATTTGGATGTGTTTTATTTAATCATACTTTAAATATATTTTTCATATTTTATTAGATTTTTTGTACTTTGTTTATTTTTTAATATTTTTTAAATATCCGAGACTTGCCTAATTAAGCCAATTAAACCGCTTCATCCGATTAATCGTTCCGGTCCAAGAAGGTCCTCATCCTTCTTGGACCAAACTTGAAACTTAACAATAAGGAGTAGAATAGCTATCTTCCTAGTATCATCTAATTTAATGGAAATGATGATATTAACCATCTTTAAGCTTGAACAAAGCTTCTTTGTTTTTTTAGTGGAAAAAGCAACATTCCCTAAAGCTGAATCAGGGTTATTATTGTCATTTTGCTGGGGCCAATTAATTAACGGTCATCAACCTCAAGCAAGCAAAAAAGAAATGTCTTGTTTCCCATAGAATCAAAAGTGCATCTTTTTTCCCCGAGAAAGAACTACAAGGTATACATGCCACACTCATTGAGGCAAATGACAAATATATATATATATATATATAATAAGAAAACTCTTGCCAACGCCTATAGATAAAAATGAATAGTGATTTGTCTATCATCATCACTATCCAAACTTCATCGCATGGTCACAGTTGTCTAGTAGTGTTTCAATTTTCATTTTTTTCTACAAATCTAAATTACTTGAAATTTAGAGTATGCACACACACACACACACACACACACACACACACACACACACACACACATATATATATATATATATATGAC